ATGTGGTACATTTACACAATGGAGTACTACTCAATGGTAAGAAGCAATGACATCCTAAAATTCACAGGCAAATGGACAGAACTAGAAAAAAAAATCTCCTGAGCAAGGTAACCCAAAACCAGAAAGATATATATAGTATGTACTCACTCATAAGTGGATACCAGATATAAAGCAAAAGATACCCATCCTACAAGCTACAACCCCAGAGAAGCTAGAACCCTCTTCCAGAAACAGATGGAAGCAGATGCAGAAATCCACAACTAACCAATGGACCAAGCTCTGGGAGTACAATCAAAGTGAGGGAGGAGCAATAAAATGAACAAAGGAGTCAAGACTGTGATGGGGAAACCCACAGAATTAGCTGACCCGAGCTACTGAGAGATCACAGACTCAGGTCTGGCAAATGGGGAACCTGCATAAGACCAAACTAAACTCCCCTAACATAGGTGACAATGGTGTGACTGGGACAATATATGAGGCCACTGGCAGTGGGTCCAAGATCTAACACTAATGCACAAACTGACTTAGTGGATCCCATTCTATATGGAGAGACACCTTGCCCAGCCTAGACACAGAGGTGTGGGGGGTGGAGAGGTGCCTTGGTCCTGCCTCAACAAGAAGATGGAACACACTTAGTAGACTTCCTAGGGTAGGCCTTACTCTCTCCAATGAGCAAATAGGAGGAGTAGGGTAGGGGGAGCAGAAGGAGAGGAGGGAGAGGGAATTGGGATTGGAATGTACAAAATAAATTTTCAAAAAAGGAAAAAAAAAGATTGCCGTGACTTGCCTAAGCCCTGCAGTTACTAAGTGTTAGAATAGTAGGGTTCTGTGTGACTGCAGAGCCTGTGGAGGCACTAACTAGACAGAACCTTCCTCAAAGCACACACCAGGACACCCTGAGAAGCTGCTGTCCCTCCCTCAGCTGAGAGGCTTTTTTTCTTTTCGGTTTGGTTTTATTTTGTTTGTTTGTTTGTTTTTTTCAAGACAGGGTTCCTCTGTTTTGCTTTGGAGGCTGTCCTGGAATTTGCTCTGTAGACCAGACTGATCTCAAACTCAGAGATCTGCCTGCCTCTGCCTTCCGAGTGCTGGGATTAAAGGCATGTACCACCAACGCACTGCTCTTTTTGTTTTTTTGAGACAGATTTTTTTTTCTGTGTAGCCCTGGCTGTCATGGAACTCACTTTGTAGGCCAGGCTGACCTTGAACTCAGAGATCCACCAGCCTCTGCCTCCTAAATGCTGAGATTAAAGATGTGTGCAACCACCACCCTGTGAGAGTTCTCTTCAGGGCTGAAAGAAGCAACAGTGGCAGGTAGGCTTTTTAAAGTCCATGCCATCAAAATCAAAACAGAGTGAAACACTTCCATTCTCAACAAGAACTTCTATCCACAAGCAGAGTTCTAAGCCCAGCTGTCTAAAACGGCATTGTGCAGGGTTCTGACTCAGTGGCAGAGTGCTTGGCTCATATGTCAAAGCCCAGGTTCAATCCTCAAAGTTGTGAGATAAAACATAAAACAGGAGAGTGTTGGCCAGAGCTTTGAGAATGTGCACAGCATAGTCTTTGAGTCTCACACGAATGAGAGTACAGATCCAAGAACCTTTGTATATGTACCGTCTCAATAGGAAATGGCCCTCTTTTCCCAAACATGAGTCCCGACTGTACTATTACATAAGAGGGACACCAACTCTCTCATATCTCAGTTTGATCAGTGACTTCCCTATTTATTTTGCCACGGAATCATTTGAGAATGTCCTCTGTGCATTGGGGAACACGCAGATGCCAAGCCATACTTAGGAAGAGAAAACAGGTTATTGTGTCATTGAGGCTCAGATTCCTCTGCCACTGGCAGTTCTCAAAGTACTCCCTGGTTAAAGTCTCTGTTCCAAAACTTTTACCCCCAATGAGATGTGTGCCACAGAGAGGAAAAGAGCACATATAAATAAGCGCGTGCTGTGCCTCCAAGTGTTGTCATAGCAGGTTTTATTTCCCCTCTGCTACCACATTGTGGTCTTACATTGAGTATCAGATATCTCTGTGGCTAGTGTGTGGCCTGGGTTCCTGCCAGGCTTCCTGTGAAATGTGCAATTGATGCTCACTTCTTCGCTCCATCTCTCTCAAAGATGTCTTAAAGTTGGGGCCATGGAGGAGGCCGCCTTGTCCTTTATCAGAGGCTCAGCACAGAGTTGGTGCCTGCTCATCCACACTCAGGAAGAAAACAGTGTGGGCGATTAACAATGACTGGGCCCTCATTTTCATTCCATCACCTCCTTAATTCTCACAGCCCCCCAAAAGGATAGCATAATTCTAGTCACAGCACAGACCCAAGAATACATTCCCCAGGTCTGTATCAAAGTATACTTATGTATACACGTGTATATGCACATACAAAAATGTATACCGACTCTACTGACGCAGCCCAAAAGCACACCACCCACACTTACTTTCATCAGTGCCATAGGAATGCAGATTTTGGGGGAGAGGGGTAACTTCATCAGTTAAGGGTGTACAGTTGATAAGTGACAGGGTTGGGAGGCAGAGAGACCTCATCAGACCACACAGCCCAGGCTTCTAGCCACAAGTCACACTCTTCATTTTGTGTTAACACAGAATCTAGGAAAAAACACGGGCCGAGGAGAAGACTTCTACCTCTTCCTTTTCATTTCATCACCTGACACCTGCGGAAGAATCTTCCCGTTCTCAACCACAGCTGAGACATTCCAGAAGCAAGGGGCACAAAACATTGCCACAGGTACATTTCACTCTGTGTAACACACACACACACACACACACACACACACACACCATGTACAGTCCACCACACACACCTTGTGCATTTCACTATACACACCCCTCGTGTGTTTCACTTCATGCACCCCTGTGTCTGATTTCCCTTTGATGCTTTTATTTGTTTTGGGGGTGGGTGAATTTGCTTGTTTTTGAGACAGGGTTTCACTATATATCCTTGGCTATCCTGGAACTCTCTATGTAGACCTGGCTAGCCTACATCAAAGTGGTATGCCTACCTTAGGCCTCCCCAAGTACTGAGATCAAAGGTAAACACCACAACTGGCTCACTTTAGAGGAAACTCAGGAGAGGAGCTGGTTGGTTCAAATGCTGGAATGTGGGTTCATGTCTGAAGTGTTACTGGCCAAAGAGGATTTCATAGAAGGTTCAGTAGTTAAATATGGATGCTGCTTCCACAGGCAGAAAATCCTGAACAGCAGCTGTTGAGAAATGAGGTGTGGGGCCAGAGACCAATGGAGACCCACAAAGAGGGAGAGAAAGGAGACCAGAAGGTGAGGGCCTGGACAGACCTTGGGATGAGCTCAAGCATGGAGGAATTTAAGTGTTAGGAGTAACAGAGCCAGTGGAGGGGCAGAGTTACAGTAGCTGAATGAATGAACCCATAAGCTAGCGGTGAACAAGGAACAAGAACTGCATTTCTGTTTCTGCTGTGAATGATGTCACTGTGCCATCTTGCTCTGGGAACACTGTGTGACCTAATGAGGCATCATTGTGTTTGAAGTTGATACCAAATAATTATAGTCAAGTGCCACATTATAATGTACGAGGTGGTCCCATAAGATTACATCATGTAGAGGCATAGGTTGTAGCCATCTTGATCTATATAAGAACATTTTGCATCATTCTCACAATACATTACTCAACACCACACTCCCTAGGTATCTATTAAAGCATGCCTATGTCCCTTCGCATGTGTGTGTGTATACCCACTCTACCGAAGCATCCCAGACACACCACCCATGCTTGCTCTCACCAGGTGCAGCAGGAACTCAGATGGTCCTGTTGTAAGCATCCTAAGAAGGGGTTTTCCATCTCTATTTTGATTCCCAGTCTACATAGATGGCAATTTCCTGTTCTCCCAGCACTGCCGAAAACTTCCCAAATATAGCCTGATATGCAACAAAGCCTCATGACAGATACCAGAGGGAACCCGACACGAGAGCTGAAGCATGTGGAAGTCTTAAGAGAAAGAGACTTCAAGGAAACGTGGGAATGTACATATTTAATACATATTCATGTTTGAACACAAGTTAAAGTCATCTAAGAGGAGGGGGTCTCAATCAAGAAAATGCTGTAAGATAGAGTTGTATGCAAGCCTGTAGGGCATTTTCTTAATTAGTGATAGATATGGGTGGTGCCATCCCTGGGCCGATTCTATCAGAAAGCAGGCTGACCAAGCCGTAGAGAGCAACCCCCTTCCATGAGGTCTGCATCAGCGTCTTCCTCCAGGTTCCTGCCCTGCTTGTGTTTCTGTCCTGACTTCCTTTTTGATGATCAGTCGTGTGGATGCCTAAGCATGGTCAACCCACTAGGACCTACTCAGAGAAAATTGCCTCCGGCTCCCTTGGAAGCCAGCCATCAATCATCAATAGCTCCTAAGGTAGGGGTGGGGCTCATAAGCTCCTCCTGCCCCTATGCTTAACAGTTGGCAGCTGCTGTAAGTTCCTGGGTACAATAGTCCTATCATGTCCAGAAGACACTGCCTCTCCACCATCCCCAACTCTGGTTTTCACAGTCTTTCTTGGGGGAGGGGCCATACCACTATTTTATGTATCATTACACACACGAAAAAAGCACGCTTCTGGTATCATTGCAAACAGAGTTTTGTGGAGAGCAATTTAAAGATAAACATACCAGTCTTTGCAGTGAAAATATCACCCTCCTGGCCACAGCTCTTCATACTCTTGTTCCAGAGCCCTGAATCCTTGGGCCATGGAAGGCTTATTGCCCCAAACATTTCACCCATAATTAACAGCAGTCAATTAAAAATTGTGCTGAGCAGTGATGCTTTTAATACCAGCACTTGGGCTACAGATCAAATTTGAGGACAGCCAAGGCTACACGGGGAAATTCTGTCTTGAAAAAACCAAAATGTCTATGGACCCTCCTCATTGTGTGTTCTAATTGGCTTTCTGTGGGTGTGATAAGCACCTTGACCAAAAGCTTGGTGAGGGAAGCGTTCATTTCATCTTACCTTCACAGGACCCGTCATCCAGGAAAGCCAAGGCAGAGACTGTGGAGAAATGCTGCTTATAGGCTTGTTCAGCTACCTTGCTCAAACGCCTGAACCCACCTGTTCAGGGATAGGTCCACCCACAGCGTTCTGGGCCCTCTTACATCCATTAGCAATTAAGAAAATGCCCCCACAGACTAACCTGATATATGCAATTCCTCAACTGAGATTCTCTTTTCCCAGCTGTGACTAGATTTCTGTAGAGTTGACAAAACTCTATGTTCCATATTCCACACATGTGCCTTTGTGTGCAACATATGTGTTAGATGCTATTCTTGTCCACAAAGGTTCATGGTCTAGAGAGATCTGTTTTGATTGAGCGTAGGTGTTGACAACTATATAGCATATATTCCAAATTCCTGTCTTATAAGGTTTTTGTTGAAGTGTGTGACCCTTCACGCTAATCCTGGAGCTTCACCCATGCCCACCATCTAAGGACCAAATGGAGCTGTAAAGACAGTAGCTAGCTTTCCCAGAAACAGTTCTCTGATGTTTGGTTTTAGCTAGAAGTTTTGGATTTGGGCTGGTCACTTAGACTTCAACTTAAAATGTATCTTATCAGTTAAAAGTGGCACTGGGAGAGAAAAAGGGCAAATAGCACCAACATAGCAGAAGGTGGGCGCCACAGCCCTTTCAGGCCTTTGTTTGCTGATTGGCAATTCTGAGCTACACAGGCGTCAGCAAGGAAAGAAAGGTCTGTTGCTCTAACAGCACCACCATTCTAAGCAACTCTGATGTCACATCCCAGCCCAGTCGCAGATGCTTGCTGTACATGTGAAGGCCTTGGGTTCAATTCCCCAGCACCACAAATAGAAGTCAAACTCAACAGTTGTAGGTAATGCCGGGGAGAAAACAACAGACTCTAACAATGTCTTGCTAATCTGACATCAGTTGCCTGTGGCATTCCCTCCACACCAACTCTTTTTGGTGCCTTTCCTCAATACCTACTGGGCCAATGTTGCCTGTTCAGAGCCTTGCAAAGGAAGCAATGACCAGGATAAATCCCCTGCTTTGTAGAGCTTGAGATTCATGGGAAGAGACAAAAGGAGGCAGAGTACAAAAGCACGTGCCACAAAGTACCACGATGGAATATATAGCCAGATAAGGGACCAAAGGTGACACTGGGGAGAGGGTGTGCCACGGGAAGGACGCTGCACTGCATTAGAGAGACACCTGCAGAAGGAGGGAGGGCTCCTGTCCGTCAGAAGGGTTTCCCAGGAGAATGGATGAGTGCAGTTCAACAGTGAACTTAGGGCTTTATTGTGCTGGACAGAGGCCACACTTCTGCCTGCCCACCCCCTAAACCTTTACACTGTTAATGCTGAGATCCCTGGAAAGCCCCTTCATGGGTCTCTACTAGAGCTTGAAGAGAGTGCAGTGAAAGCTTTAAGCTGCCTTTAACACGGGCATCATAATTGATGGTCCATTACACTGCATGTGAAAATCACTCTGGGATTTGACACTAAGCTAACTTTTCCCCTCTTAAATGTCTTTGTTACATGTTTTCACTGTCCCAGTGACTTCTTGTCCTTAGTAATTTCCTTGTGAGTACACCCATGCCCCTTGTATAAGCAGAAATGTCCTGTATCTACAATATCAAATGCAAGTTTGATGGGTATAAGTGACCACACTTACAGAAGTATAATGTATATTTCTCATTAAAAATTACTCCTAACATTATCACACCATGGTTGTAGAAAGAAAATGTTTATATATTAGCTTAGAAGCCAGACAGGTGATCCCAGTACTTGAGAGGCTGAGATCAGAGAGCCACCAGTAAGCAATGGTGAGAAAAGAATGAAATGCAGACGAATGGCTAAGATGCTGCAGATAGCAGCAGCCTTGGGACATGGGAGGCCAGGCTCAGTCAGAAACCAGTGTGGCCCTCCGTGGTGCCTGCGCCATGATCAAGTCTAATGTATCGGCAAAAGCCTGGAGATTTAAATGAAAGACAAGACGTCCAGTCATTTGTGCTACAAATGTGTGTGTGTGTGTGTGTGTGTGTGTGTGTGTGTGTGTGTGTGTGTGTGTTGCAAGGAGGGAGCAGCCTTATATACAGACTTACAGCACAGTGGAGAAACCCCAGGTGTTACAGCTCGTGTTTTCATAACTAGAGGTTGATGCTAAGGGTGGCAAGGCTGGGGCTGTAAGTCAGGACTAGAAAACAGGATGTATCTGTGGTTATTGGCTGACAAGCAACTCAGAGACCCCGTGGGGGTTGGGGCCCAACATCTCCCCCTTCTTTATATATAAACCAGCTCCTATCTTAAGTGACTAGGATGTTAACACCAATCTTACCCGGCAATGAAGAAATCACCCAAGGCTGCATGACCCTCCTCTTAGGTTGATTGGCATCCCCTTAGTGTTGCTGGTTACTGGCTGCCTAATTTTTCTGTAGGCTCAACCATAGTTGAGCTGAAGGATTCTCTGTGGCCCTCGAGTGACAAATTGAGCCTAGGCTTGTCTAGTGTGGAGGCACCTTAGCCAAATGAAGTATATGATAATAAGTCCATGAGCAAGTCTAACATATTGGCTACAAGACCCAGAGATAGGGACCAGCCCATTCTTTGGTTAAAGGGCCTACCATAACCAACCCCATTTAAATGGAAAACAAACATTTATGAACAATATTGGGAGTGTGGGCTTCCTGCTGCTTGAGGGTGTGAAAATACCTTGGGGATTCTAAGAAAAAACAGAAATCCTGGCTGTAGTGGTCTGCAAGGCTGCCTTGTCCCAGATGCTTTGAATGTTGGATCACCTGGGCCACTGCTTCAGGGAGCCTTGCTTCATCAAATAATATTAATCTGGAAGGAAGCCACAGCTTTTCATTTTATGTGGAAACAAAAGCAGAAATTCTTTTCCCAAGTAACCTGTCCTTATAGTTAAATTTTGAAGTCAAAGCATTTTTAAAATATTCAAGTTGGATTAATTTAGCAGCATTGATAAGCAAGTGTATTTTAGCAGTTATTGTTCCTTCTTTAGCAATTGAACAACTGAAAGACAACACAAACAATAGCACACAGCATTCCAGACTCTGTGTACTTTCCATCTTTACATGGCTTATTTACTTATTATTCTATTTCTTTTACTTTTTCTTTCACTTAGTACCAGTACCTTGTTTCTTTACTCTTTTACTTTTTCTTTCACTTGTTTCTTTCTTAGAAGTTGAGGTACCCATTTTCAATTCACCCTCATAACCTCCAAGGGTGATCTCTCAGGGTCCCCTTTCTTTCCTGATCTTGGTGGGACCTCCAATTGTGGCACCTGCTCCACGAGCAAGTCTAACATATTGGTCAAAAGCCTGGAGTTTCAAGTGAAAGACAAGATGTCCAGCCATTTGTGCTAAGAGAGTGTGTGTGTGCGTGCATGTATGTGTCTTTATTGCAAGGAGGTAGCAGCCTTATATACAGACTTACAGCACAGTGGAGAAATCCTAGGTGTAAGAGCTCGTGTTTTCATAATTAGTGGTTGATGCCAGTGGGGCAAGGCCAGGGCTGTAAGCCAGAAAACAGGATGCACCTGTGGTTATGGTTAATAAACAACTCACAGAGACCCCGTGGGGGCTGGGGCCCAACAGCCCTCGGGTCAAAAAGCTGGGCTAACCTGGGCATTAACCCATGGATCAAAAATCGGGCTATCCAAGAAAACCTAAATAAGCAATCTGATCAACAAAGCAGACATTTAACTCAATGATAAGCAATTTTTAGGGTAAGCAGACCTGGAACAACCCCAAGTGTACTGTTTCTTGTTAACACCAAAGTAGACTAACAAATTGCATTCAGATTATGTATAAATAATAGAAATACTTGTAAATGATAGCAACTCCCATTTGTCTAGTAGGTCAACTTCCTCTGATTAATTAGTTTGTCGGTTAATTTCACCTTGTGAAACAGAAATGATCCAAGCAGGGGCAAGTTTTCCCCCACTTCACGGAAGACAGGAAATTCACTCACACAAGGGGAGGTCAACTTTTTCATTGTCTACTAGTGGTTATGTGTGACAGTTTTGTTTTGTTTAATCACAGGGCAACTCTTTGCTCCTTCCAAGAAAGTTTGTGCTGTCAAAGTATAAATACATTTATGTCACCACAATGGCGATTTTTAACTTGTTTTCCCACAGGTGGGCAGTTCCTGCTTAGAGCTATTGGCTCCCACACTCCCAAAAGTCATTTCCTTTCTGGATCACATGCCACAGCTGGCAATAGAGGACAAACAATTTAGATAACCGGATAAAAACTAAAAAATAAACAGATTTGAAGGGCCCAAGACAATGGAAACTACAGGAAAGCCAGAGGGGTGGAGAGCATGACATGGTACCAGGCTCCATAGCCAAAGAAGGGTCCCTGAAGACAGCCCAGACTTCAGAGCAGCCAAGCTGGACATAGTCTCAACTGCTTGGGGTGGGGTGGAGGGGGAGCCTGGGGTAGGAATGGAGGAGGAGCCTGGGGTGGGGTGGAGGGGGAACCTGGGGTAGGGATAGAGGGGGAAGCCTGGGTGGGGGTAGAGAGGGAAGCCTGGGGTGAGGGTGGGAGGGAAGCCTGGGAGCACCTGTTTCTCTAAAGGGGCTGGAGAGATGGCTCAGAGGTTAAGAGCACTGACTGCTCTTCCAGAGGTCCTGAGTTCAATTCCCAGCAACCACATGGTGGCTCACAACCATCTGTAATGAGATCTGGTGCGCTCTTCTGGCGTTCAGGCATACATGGAGGCAGGATGTTGTATTCATAATAAATAAATAAATCTTTAAAAAAATAAAAAATTAAGTCACAGAGGCTCTCAGTTTTCACTGAGCTTATGACTCCCCCTAATAGTGTTCTGGAACTGTCCCTCCAGACTCACGGCCCCCGAATCCTTGAATGTAGCAGGATGTTAGCTCCCCTTCCCCGTTGCCCCCTTCACTGAAGCCCCAAGTCTCAGTGTTCCCCACTTAAAGTCCTAGTTTTGTCAGGGTTTTCCATGTCAGCACCCTGGGCTCCTGCACCCACCTAGTTACTGAGATGCTGGTCTAAGTGTTTCTGGGAAGGCGTTTGGTAGATGTGGTAATCAGCCACAATAACTTGACTTTATACAAAGAGAACACTC